ATAGTAGATACTGAATAATTTGTAGTAGATACTGAACAATTCATAGTAGATACTAAATAATTTGTAGTAGATACTGAATAATTCATAGTAGATACTGAATAATTCATAGTAGATACTGAATAATTTGTAGTAGATACTGAATAATTCATAGTAGATACTGAATAATTCGTAGTAGTTACTGAATAATTCATAGTAGTTACTGAATAATTCGTAGTAGTTACTGAATAATTCATAGTAGTAACTAAACAATTCATAGTAGATACTGAATAATTTGTAGTAGATACTGAATAATTCATAGTAGTTACTAAACAATTCATAGTAGATACTGAATAATTTATAGTAGATACTGAATAATTCATAGTAGTTACTAAACAATTCATAGTAGATACTGAATAATTTATAGTAGATACTGAATAATTCATAGTAGTTACTAAACAATTCATAGTAGATACTAATTAATTTGTACTAGTTACTAAAACATTTATAGTAGATGCTGAATAATTCATAATAGTTACTGAATAATTCATAGTAAATACTGAATAATTCATAGTGGTTATTGAATAATTCATAGTAGTTATTGAATAGTTCTTTGTAGTTAAAAAGTATTTAGAAACATGAACAAAAAGTTCAAAACACAGATGTACACATTCACACACTCAGGCGCTCTGGGGAATCGAACCCAGGCCCCTATTTCTAAAACATTAATGGAGGCTGCTCCTTCAGATGAGCTGATGCTAACTGTAGAGCTGACTGGTACAGAGGTAGATGGTGACTCCTGGGCTTCTACATGATATTTTCCGTCCTCAGTGGATGACGTGCCAGCATGTTAGTTTGCCAAGATAACTTTAGAACATAGAAGTGCCTTTCCATTGTTTTTGGTTCTAGCTAACAGCACCTGGAGCAGTTAGCCTAGCTAAATCTACAGTGTCTCTGCCTTCTCAGTCACATCTTTAACAACACATTCATACAACATGCTCACATGAAGGCTCTCACATTTAGTCGTGGGAAAATAAGAGTAATATATTTATGCTTCACTTGGAACGGTTAACCGAGTAATCGAGTACACATGCACATCCCTAATACAAAATATAAGAGCACAGATGAGCTTATAATGCCTGGATGATTATGTGCAATTATTATGACTATATGATTATGTGCAATTTAAACCATAATGACTGCGTATGTCATTGTTTCCTGGTGAATTATGGCTGAAGTGTGTAAAGTGTGGAATGTCCACTGTGGTCTGAGGGTAATTCTTCAGTCTGTATTTTGACTGTTGGAGCTGTAGGCCTCTGGACACCTGCCAGCCGTTAATCTGTCACTGTGGCTCCGTGTGTCGCTCAGTGAGGATGCGGTGTTACTGTGTGCTGTGTGAGCTTTACGCTCTCTGTAGAGTCTTAGTGCCACTGAGGGGCTGAACGGCGAGTGGTAGATTTCATTAGTTACGACCAACGCTGTCCTTGTTGAGATCGGTAGTGTTCTCGGTAAGAGTGGGCAGTATGACAATGTGTGAGTGATGATGCTCTTTTACAGTACAGTCGAGTACAGTCACATGCAAAAGTTTGAGCACTGTCATTACATTTTGTCGATTTTCTAAGTGGACCTTTTGAGGATGTGCATTAAGCATATTTATCTATATATCTATGTATCTATATCTATATATATATATATATATATATATATATATATATATATGTAATAAACTGCCTAGTAGATGATTAGGTGTCTCCGCATTATGACATCATCTTAATTTATTAGATTATTTTTTAGCAGTTCTTTGATTTTTCCTTCTGTTTCCTTCTGTTATTTTAAATAATTTAAAATATATATTGTCTATATCTCTTGTTCGCAAATCACAGAAAAGCTAAATATTGTTGTGTTGTAAATATTGTGTGTCCTCTTTAAATATCATGATGTTTTTGCCATATCGCCCACCGTTAGTTATCAGTGACGGTTGTTTGCAGTAAAATACTGTTCTCATCAGTTTATTGTGAAATCAACTAATGGCAAATTACTGTAATGATAATGTTGAGCTGTACCACACAGCATTATGGGATATGACAGCGACAGAGAGTTTTGATGGTTTTTACAAAATATTCTGTTACTTATTGGTGTTGACAGATGAGAGTTTTTGGTCATGGTTGAACAAATTATAAGCAGCGTTAAACTGTCTATACTTTTTCATATTCGCATTAAAAAATTAGCTTTTCTGTGCATATATCAGTGACAAACATGGTGTATAAATATATTAGTTGATAGTATTTTTGATACTATTTTTGATATTTATCTTTCATCTTTTCCTCTAAATATAAAGTCTGTATTTTTAAAGATCTGGTCAAATTAAGTTTACATATGTAAATTTACAGTAAATTCTAGTCTAATAAATTGCAGTACTTTTTCAGTTGTGTAAAAATAATGAGATTACAGTATTTAATTGCAGCTTATTATTGTAAATGTACAGCAGAATACATCTACATTACAGTAATGGTGTGTTCCAGGTGACTGGGGTCACGGTATGCAGTTATTATGTGTTATTTTACTGTTGCAACTATTAATCAGTAATTTACTGTAATTTTACTGTAAAATCTTAAACAGTGCACCCATGTATCAAAACCAAAGAAGACAGATGGAACAGCAAGGTCTAAGCCAAAGAAAGAAAAGAAGGTTTTGACGAGTGTTAATTATTTTTGTAATATAATTTTTTTTATTCCATTTCTTGTGAATCCAATCTGTTTAACCCCAAGACCAGAGGTTTGTTATTTTACTATACATTTAATTAACGTTTATAATATTTCAAATGTAATTATATATCATTAAGTACATTTACATACTTTTCTCTACTGACAGGTTCAAGTCCGACCGTATGACTTTCCTACCGTTGTTTTAATATCAAAATGCTGAAAAATAAAACGCGAAACATTCGGCAAAGCAAGACTGTACGCACAAAGACAAGATGAGCCTGAGCTTTAGCTTTAGCTCTATATGCCATCTTAGATTTGACTGAGAGCGGAAATGAGAAAAGGTGTGGATTGAAAGTTTAGAATCTGTTTCTTTGCTTGTTTGAACAAGTGAGAAGTAATTATCATCAAATTACATACTATTGTTAAGTGTGGGCACGACTGTAACTTCTGAAGGGTTTATCGTCATTAGAGACGTGTGACTAGTTTCAGAATGATGGACTAATTTTTTCCCGCTGCACAAACATGCTTTAGCACCAGAAAACTGGAATAGTACCTTTTTCCATAGCGCACTGGTCCAGCTTTATGGTTTTTGCCCAAAGTTGGTACCAATGGAACCTAACTGTACATGAAGGTGTTGTCCTTTATTCTTTACTCTTCCAGGTGAAGATAAAATCACTAAGCACTACTACTTCACGAGTAAGTGCGCCAGAATGCAAACTAGGGTCGGTCTGTTGTTGTGTGGATTGCTTTCTTTGGAATCATTGCTTTGTAACCGGTTTGCTAAGGTAGTAGTGGTAGTGCTATTAGCATTTATGCTAGCCTCCACAGAACAAGCACTACATAAATAAATCTTGACTTGAGTGGGTTTTTTTTCATATTTTGACACTGAACAGAGAGAAGTATAAGCTATTCTTGATTCGGCACATCATTTTGTGTAATTGTAGATATTGTTGTGATTGTGTGAGTGAGCAGTGCAAGAAATTCTTTCATATTAGCCGTTAAGTTATGCTAACTGCACCTAGCGAACAACATTAGCCAAATTAGATGCTTTAGAGTGGCACACAGCGACCAAAATAGCACTAAAATTATTAATCGTGGTTATTATGTTGGTTCTCGCTGTTTCTTAAGTAGGTGCAAAACGAACTAGAACCATTAGTACTTGTTTTGGTCAGTTCTTGTTTTTGAATGTGTGGTGGAAGATGGTAATTACAGATGGTCATCTTAAGTGAAGTGCTTCAGTTAAAAACAGCCCATTTTAAAAGTTTTTAAAGAAAAAGTATTCCGCCATATGTCTACTACTTGTGTACAGAAATGTGGTACAGATTGGAAGTTTAGAATCTGCTCCGCTAGCAGTGTGTCTCTGCTTCTTGTGAGGAGAAATAAGCATGAATTTACACTATATATTTCAATCTCTGGTGATAGCTGTGACTTCTGAAGGCTTAATCATCTTTCGGTAACACTTTACTTGAAGGGTGTCTACATAAAACATTCATAACATCTTACATAAACACTTTAATAACACCTCAATGAATGTTTAAATCAACGTTCATGAAGGATACATGTTTTACATGATATTAATATGGACTACTATGTCATTTTACTGAGATACATCTTTCAAAATGAAAAGATTATTTCAATAGAACGCCTCATTTCTGGACAGCCAACATAAAAATGACCTTAATTTGTCCCTTTGATCATTAAGTGCTTTGACACAATCATACTAAGATTCAGTTGAATGATTGTTCCTATGCATATTTATGAGTAATTTACTGTCCATATAGTGAAGTGACATGCAAAGCAACAAATACTTAAGAAAAGACAGATGACTAATAAGAAATTAAAAGTGAAAAGGTGAAACATGCCTGAGTGTCAAAGCATTTAACGACCAAAGTTATTAATCGAGGTCATTTTTATTTCGGCTGTCCAGAAATGAGGCGGTTTATTGAAAATAATATACTTTTTTTCAAATTTAGGACTTTTATTTTGAAAAAAATGTATCCCAGAAAAATGACATAGTAATCCATATTAATATCATGTAAAACACATATACTTTATAAATGTTGATGTAAACATTCATTAACATGTTATGAAGTGTTTATGTAAGATGTTATGAATGTGTTATGTAGACACCCTTCAACTGAAGTGTTACTCACCTTTCATGTCTGATGAGGACCGTTCAGGATCGCTGGCTCATTTTTGTTATGAAAGAATGTCCTGTGTTTCGGTCAGGCTTGCCGAGTTAGTGTTTGTCAGCGCCTGATGGGTGTGTGATTATGTTCCTCTCCAACATTCATCTCTCTCTTCCTTCCCTTCCCTCAGGACGAGTTCCATCCGTTCATCGAGGCGCTGCTCCCGCACGTCCGCGCCTTCGCCTACACCTGGTTCAACCTGCAGGCGCGCAAGCGCAAATACTTCAAGAAGCACGAGAAGCGCATGACCAAGGATGAGGAGCGCGCCGTCAAGGACGAACTGCTGGGTGAGAAGCCCGAGGTCAAACAGAAATGGGCCTCGCGCCTCCTGGCCAAACTTCGCAAGGACATCCGGCCCGAGTGCCGCGAGGACTTTGTGCTGTCCATTACGGGCAAGAAGCCCCCGTGCTGCGTACTGTCCAATCCGGACCAGAAGGGCAAGATGAGGCGGATCGACTGCCTCAGGCAGGCGGACAAAGTGTGGAGGCTGGACCTGGTGATGGTCATCCTCTTCAAGGGCATACCCCTGGAGAGCACGGACGGCGAGCGGCTGGTGAAAGGAGGCCAGTGCTCCAACCACATCCTGTGCGTGCAGCCGCACCACATCAGCGTTTCCGTCAAAGAGCTGGACCTCTACCTGGCCTACTTCGTGCAGGAGAGAGGTGAGTTAGCATGCCAGCCTCGGCCCAGCTGGACACTGTACGAGTCTTCGGCTTCGTTGTCGCTCGGTTTCGATTATCTGATCAGATCCAATCTTTTTACTTTGGTGGTTTAGGTTTTGCTTTGTAAGTGACTCATTAATGTTATTATTAGAGCAATTTTCAATATTGTTACCTTTCAGGGCCAACACCCTTTACTTAAATACCGATTCCCGAGCGATACCTTCTTTTTAAATGACAAAGAGAATGACTTAAACCAGAAATGAGTGTTGATGGAAGTGGGTATATTTACTGACCACAACGGACCTGAGATTAATGCCCAATTCCAATTTTCCTAATGTTTACCCCTACCCCTTGTGTCGTCTTGCCCCTTGGAACTCAGTTATATGGTTTAGTGGTTGAAATTTTCCTCTAGAAATGGGACCCTCAAATAAAAACAGCATTACTTCATTAACAGCTACCAGCGCTGCTCTGTAGGCGACCCTGCCAGTCTGCAGTGACAGCAGAGGAGGGTAAAGTTCAGCTCCTCACTGCTGGCCTTTAGTTACATTTAGGGCATCATATGCCTTCGAAGAGGGGGGAACAATTATTTAATATCACCCACCCCTAATTCTACGGTGATATGAAACTGAAGTCAGCTATTTACCAGCTTCTTGTTGGAATTGTCCTGTTCCACCTTAAATGGCAGCAGTTCTGATGCTTGAGGTGCCAGAATGTAACTGCTACACCATTTCAGGAAGAACAGGAAATTTAGCTAGCCAGCTACTGAGACATTAGCTTAGTACTAGCGATTATTTACGCTTGTTATAAAGACAAATACTGTAATACATTGAAACAACATTAAACTAAGATAAAACAATGAAAATTCTCACATTTGTGGGTTTCTTTGGTTGCTAACGCAGCCATCTTGCTAGTTTTTCTTTTTTTTCTCATAACACTCAGTTTGGAGTCTGAAAAACCTCAGTTTGGAGGGCCATGTAGACCTAACACTTCGCCCTACCCCTCTATCTCAACAAAAATTGGTACACCTTACCTCTAGACGTGAACGCCCCAAACGGGATAAGGGCTAAGTGGTAGGGGCGAGAGGTGAACTGGGATTGGGCCTCCTAAAGAAAAGCTGATGTTAAAAACATGCATACAGAATGCAATTTAGACAGTCTAGATTTTGAAACGAGCGTGCTTATTGGCTTGCGGATCCTAAGACTGACTGTAGACATTGAAATTTGGTTTTGAATGACATGGATTGTTTCAATGCTTGGTAGTACTGAAGTCATTTGGTTAGTGCCTTTAAAGTATTGATTTATGGTACCCAGCCAGGGGAGCTGGCAGTATTCTGGGCCCCCTGAAATTTCCTCCATGAGCGTCTTGCCTCACCTCACTTGACTTAGCAGAACATGTCGCAACATTAAAACATGGCAAAATCATCATGACACCATTCATTAAAATGTGTCTCAAAAGCTTAGCATCTTGGCTGTCAAAGCAAATTTATTTGCTCCCGATCTATAACTAGTGTAGGACAGATACATCATTCAAAGCCCACAAACATGCTCATTTATCCAGCTACGGTTCATGAGATTCAGTGGTGGAATAAAGGATGTATTCTGGTTTTAATTTGTACGTTACCCAGACCAAAAGATCTGCAGGATATAGAGTGTCCTTAGTAAACATAGTGGACACTGGACCTCTTTAAGTTAGACCGGTTTGTTTTTCCTGCTGTTTTTGAAAGCCTGATTTGCATTTTTTGATGGCATCATCTTTTGAATTAAAAATGAAACTCTTGTTCTTCTTACAGACGGGCTAAACCACTGAACATTTAGAGAGGGGAATTGCTGGAAAGCAAGAACGCATCGTGGTTTGCTGTTGGCATTGTATACAAAACCAGTCTGTAGTTGTTATCTAATGAACAAAGCATTGAAGAATCTGTCAGTAAGCTCAAGAATCACATGAAAAGGTGCAATCTTTGTGGACCCCTGTCTCTTCAGGCCTTTGGAATGGTCCTAATCTTCCACCCCCTTGGTTGTAATACTGAATTGTGACGATATGCCTCTGATTTAGGCAAAAAATCTAATTTGTTCCGCTTCAACTTTGACGTATGAACGTAGCCTTTGTCTATGAGTGACGGCTTTTTTTGCAAGATGCAAAATAAGGAAAAGGCATTCTGAGAAGCGTCTCACTGCTGGTGTGTAAATACAGTACTTGGAACCGCCACTCTGAGGGTGCGGAGAATCCCAGATACGCTGAATAGCAGTTGGTAGACGGACATGTGTTTAACGCTTCTGTGCAAATCACAGAGGATGCTCTGGTTCGCCCTTCTGAGAAATAAAACCCGCTGAGTCATCTCCTTCCTTACACGCTCCGGGTGTTTAGCGGCACTCTTAGCCCAGGCCTGCATGACCTTTTTAAGAGGAGCTCAACTGGTAGAACCACAGACAGCAGAGCAGGATAGAGCTGGCTTTAACAGCAGAAAGAGAAAGAGAGAAAGAGGGAGAGAGACAGAGGAGAGAGAAAGAGGGAGAGAGACAGAGGAGAGAGAAAGGTGGAGGGAATTAAGCAGAGCCAAGTCCTAACGCTGTAAATCATTTTAAATGAGCGCGGGTTGCTCTGGCAGCCGGGGAGATGTGTTAAAATTTACAGTGCTGTATAAAAGGGTGTAGGCTGGCAGTTAGCAGCCATGCTGGGAAGGAGCTGATGAACAGACGTCCCAGTGCAGCCTGGGAAAGAGCCTGACGGAGAGGCTGAGATAGCGTCTGACATTTGAGCCTGAGACAGAGAATTAGACAAAGCTTGAGATGGAGTCTGAGACAGAGTCTGAGGCATGGCTTGATGTATAGTCTAAGACACGCTCTGAGATAGAGCCTGAGAGACAGTCTTGGACAGTCAGGGACGGGCTGAAATCAAATATGACAAATATGAGTCCAAGAAAACATGATACAGAGTTTAAGACAAAGTCTGAGACAGCCTGAGATAGAGTCTGTGATAGATTCTGAGACACAGTCTGCGATACTGACTGAGGCTTGGTCTGAGATCAAGTCTGAGACACAGTCTGAGACAATGTTTGAGATAGAGTCTGAGACGCCGTTTGAGATTAAGTCTGAGACAAAGTCTGAAACCAAGTCTGAGACAGCCTGAGACAGAGTCTAAGATAGAGCCAGAGACACAGTCTTGGACAGTCAGGGACGGGCTGAAATCAAATATGACAAATATGAGTCCAAGAAAACATGATACAGAGTTTAAGACAAAGTCTGAGACAGCCTGAGATAGAGTCTGTGATAGATTCTGAGACACAGTCTGCGATACTGACTGAGGCTTGGTCTGAGATCAAGTCTGAGACATAGTCTGAGACAATGTTTGAGAAAGAGTCTGAGACGCCGTTTGAGATTAAGTCTGAGACAAAGTCTGAAACCAAGTCTGAGACAGCCTGAGACAGAGTCTAAGATAGAGCCAGAGACACAGTCTTGGACAGTCACGCATAGCCTGAGATAGAGTATGAGGCAAAGTCTGACATACAGTCTCAGACAGGCTGCAAGTCTGAGACCAAGTCTGAGACGCAGTTTGAGATAGATTGTATACAGTCTGAGATAGAGTCTAAAATAAAGTGTGAGACACAGTGTGAGATAGTCTGAGACACAGTCTGAGAGCCTGAGACACAGTTTGCTATACTCTCTGACCTGTGATAGAGTCTGAGACAAAGTCTGAGGCAGTCTGAGACAAAGTCTGAGATAGAGTTTAAAATAAAGTGTGAGACACATTTTGAGATAGCCTGGGACACAGTTTGCTATACTCTCTGACCTGAGATAGAGACGCAGTGTGAGACACATTTTGAGATAGCCTGAGACTGTCTGAGATAGCCTGAGACACAGTCTGAGAAACAGAATGTAAGAAAGTGGCAAATCAAAGGAAGACAACAACTCTGATGAAATAAAACATAATTTCTTTATTTTTTTAATAAATGCAGTATTTTGTTAAATGAATAAATATTGCATCAACCAGTCTTGTCCGGGTCAGAGAGGCGTGAGCGTCACCTGAGCTGTCTTTATGGCTTCCAAACAACTCAGAGATAAATACAACAAATATATATAAAATATGCTGGAAATCAAGATGATTTATTTTTATTATTATTATTATTAGTAGTAGTAGTAATGATGTATGTTTATATTTGTTTGTAGTCAAATAAATGAATAAATAAATAAATGCATTCTAATTAGTGGTTTGATTTCCAGAGAGTTACTCACAGTTTTGTTTCATTTCCGTTGTGTCTTCCTGTGTTTTTCTGTCTGTTTGAGGTTTTTTTGCTTTCACTCACTGAGCAGGCGCAGCCGGTCAGCTCTAATATCGTCCTTTGGGGAAGGAAAGCATTTCGTCCACCGGCTCTCTCACAATGAGCGAGAGAAGCTGAGCTGGTCTTTGTGGGTTTGAGTGCTCAGGTCACAAAAAGTTGATGGTTTTAGTCGAGTGGTCGTTCTTTCAGAATGATGGATTGTGCATGTGTGTGTGAGTGTGTGTGTGTGTGTGTGTGGCGGTGGCAGGAGTGACTCAGTGTGTGGTGAGATTGCTCAATTTTTCCCCACCACAGTGTTGCCTTCTTCATCTTTTGGAATCAAGTAGTTCTCAGGCTGATGAGGAAGCTTTAGTGGCCGGTTTACTTCAGTTAATCGCGTATAGGAGAGCGTACTCGACAGACAGAGTGTGAACGTCTGTCATTCAGCATCAGAAATAACCAGGGCCACAATATGTACCTCTTAAATATAGAGATGCATAACGGTATCAGGTTTATATCAGTATCAGCAGAAAGTATTCATAGCATTTATAGTAGTTATTCGAGCTGCAACACCTCTCACATCATTAACAATGAATACTGTTAGCGATTAACTGTCATTACAGTGTTTACGCTCCCTCTGAACTCTACAGTACAGGGATGTGCACAGCTCACACAGTCAAAATATGGGAACACTTTTTTTTTACATCATCTAAAATTTCCTGTAAGATCTGTAAAACTGAGCTGA